TCCTTGTCCTTCGTTTCATGGTCTTTGTTCTGAGTGGACCCACTGAAGGGAAGACGTCAGAAGAGAGTCTCAGCCGTGTTTGCTTTCAAAGTCCCATGGGAAGGACCCTGGCACCAGCGGTCCGCCGTCCCCACCATGTCACTCGGTGCCCAGGCCAAGACTGTCATTGGCGTCAGTGGTGTGTGGTGCCTCACAGTGTCCTCCCTCCACTAGTGCCCCGAGAACTCTGGTGGCATGTCCCTCCATGAGCTGGAACAACCTCTCTCATGTTAAAGATGGCAAACGGAAGCCAGCAAATGGCCTGGTGGTCCCCCACCTCTCACTGGTGCCCCTGGGAGCCTGGCTGTCATCCCCAGCAGCGCACATTCAAAACAGTTAATCTAGCCAGCCACCTGAGAATGAGTAGACCCTGGTGAAGCAAGTCGTCTGCCGTGTCGAAAAGACTATGATGCGCTCAGCTGCTCTGTCTGCATACAGTTGGCTGCTTGGCTGTGGGACCAGGCGCTCTGTCTTGGAGGGCAGGTGTCTCGAGTGACCAAAGACAGCTCAAAAGTAAGTTTGATACGTATTGAATCTGGGCAGAGAAATGTCAACTAGGTTTTTAAACTTCGTTTTTCTGGTTACAAAAGTTAAGTAGATAAAAGTATATGTAATATATGCTTCCTGTAGAAAAGTTGAAAATGAATTAAGTTGAAACTGTCATTCCATTAGCTAGTTATAAACTATTAATAATGTGTGTTTCCTCTCCGTATTATCACTATGTCAAAATATAGGAAAGTAATAAATGCATGCATTTTAATACATGCATGATGAATCGTGTACGTGATTTTCCTGAGGTGTCTGTCCATCTTATGAATAAACTTAATCATTATGTCATTTAGGGACATTTATACTGATTCTAATTGTTTTACATTTTGTCTTATGGAATCTTTTCATTAGAGTATCATAGCTGAATTAATTGTTTTTCTTCACTCTAGAAATATAGTCATCTACGTTGTAACACATTCGTCATTTTGTTATGACAGGGGTCTCAAGGTCTGGGCTGTTCTTACTAGATGCTATTCCTGCGAAATGTTAAAACGCAGCAAGTATTTTGCAGGTGGAGTTGTAACCGATGAGCCTGACCGGAACCCAAGGGCTAAGTTTAACCAAGAAAAAATTTAACACGTAATTAACCAAATAGTGTCTGTAACCAGTGGCGAAGGCTCCCTTTCCGGCAGGGATTCAGATGGGAATCCGCCGCCTCTTTTACTTGTGCAAGTAAACAAAACTACGCAACGACAACCAGGTGTCACTCTTTGACTAGACGCCCCCAAGCTGTGAACCCCTTGCATTCGGTGGCAATTTTCCCTCCAAGCCGTGCTGGAAGGGAAAATTGTCTTTCAGTGTTTCTTAGCTTAATTTTTCCGGCCTCGTTCCTTAGTTCTTAAAGTCAACTAACTACATTAGAAAAATCAAAGACCTACATTTTCAATTCTGTTTCTTATTTCGCCTCTGGCAAAATCACCTGCAAAGCCTGATAGTGCAGAGAAGGGCGCCACCTGGTGGCCACGGTCAAGCGTGTCCGTGGTCGTGTAGCTGAGTCGCTGGGGTGGGGGTTTTCCTGAGGGGACAGGGATCGACAAGGAAGGAGTGGGGCGCTGGGGATCGCTGGTGGAGAAAAGCACCTGGAAGTCTGAGGAAGTCCGAAGAAACTACTCAGCAGTTACTCGCATCGCTGGGATCACAGTACTGCCGAGCTACCTGAGCTGGAAACCGAACAGGAGGAAAGCAAACCTCGTGATCTTTGAGGGAACGTGCAGGAGCTGCTTAAGGCCTGCTGGGAGGTACAGGAAAACTTCTTATTCTGTTATACAGTAATAACATAGTGTTGTAGTGCAGTATACATTGGATGTAAACTTCATATACACATACACACATTAAAAACAACAACAAAAACCCCTTTAAAATGCTGAAGGTTCTTACAAGCTACCATTTTTTCTTAACCAAACTCTAATAACAACTAGAATTATATACATTACACTAGTTACTATTAGAGTATGTATAATTCCTCAACTCTGATATTCTGTGGAGGGTGGTCCTGGGCATTTCATATCTTTACAAGACGTTTGGTCAGCATTATACCTTTTTTTTGTTTGACTATTTCATGTGTCCAGTTAGCCACAAGTTGATCACAGGGTTTTTATCCGAAGGGCCTCGCTCGCATGTTGAATGGATGGGTGCTGTGCAGCCACGTTCACTCTGAGGATGAGAGGAAGGTGAAAAGAATGGAGAACGAGAAGCCATCCATACCTGTTCTAGAGAGAGCCACCCTCTCCCAAGCCACAGGACCAAATAATACCTGTACTCTGCCCACTTTTTTAAAACAAATCTGCATGTGTACACCTTTTACTTTATCCATTTCCGTTCTGACATTCATGATTTTTAAGTCAATGTCATTGAGGAAAATTTAGAAAAGGGGACTTTAGAAGGGAACGGCAGAAAGTAACCATGTGGTATACATCCTATTTCTATTTATTTTTATGACTTGAAAAGCATGTGGAGGTGTCAGTGTTACCTCAGACCTCGCACCCGTACCCTGTAACCTTTGACGTTTCTCCCTAGCTGAGTCTCTCCTGGATAAGGTGTGAGTTTGTGGTGAGGAAGGAGCACCGAAAATCCGGAACCTAAAGCCGCTTGGTATGGAGGAGAAGGATGTAACCGCGGAGTTATTTCAGAAGCGAGGCCGCCACTGGCTGCCCGGAGCTGTCTTGCCCTCTCCGCCTCATTTCTCTCCCGCCCTCACTCTGCTCTGTTTTCACCCAAGGCTGAGTTTATAATATGTGCTCCCTCTCTTAAGCCATAGTCTCATTCTAAATTCCCCAAATAGGCTACTATTTATTAACCATAATAGGGAGAGGGTGTTCCTATTTATTTATTTATTTATTTTTCTTTTAATTATAGTGCTTTTTAACTTTGGAAATTTTCAAAAGCCGAGGCAGGCAACTAAAGAGGGCATTTTGATTTGAGAAATTCCTCTCTTCACACCACATACAGACTCAATTCTGCTCTATTCTGCCTTTTATTTTATTTTTATTTTTTGGAGAGGGGACTAGTCTTGTTTAAAACACTAATAATCTCATCAAAGGCTTCCCAGGAGAGGGCCCAGAAGGCTTTGTAACGACCTGAATCAAGTCTTAGCTCTATTCTAAAATTAATCCCCAACTCTACAAAACGTATGTCCTTTTCTCTGAAACTGTATAAAGTTGCAAGGGATTAATAGAGGGAAGGGGAGCTGGTTAGGAACTGCAGGCAGATCAGATGGTGGAGCAGGCCAAAAACAGGGGCCAGGGGCAAGTGTTTATCCAAGCTTCGCTTTATCTTCCAATTCTCACAAACTCTGCATAAATGGAGTTTGAAAGAAGATAGTGAAGAAAAGATTTTAATTTGCAATTGCTTGCCTATCTTTTCGTCAGTTCAAACACAGGACCTTTAGGTCCGACACTTTTTCGTGGCAAGGCTTCTACTTTGTCCCTCACAGAGAAAGCTGTCAAAATACGGCCATTTAAATAAGAACATTAAAAGGCCTGAGAGGGAGTCCCTTGACTTATGAATCCGTCCTTCTTTACACATCATGTCTACATTCCCCAAGGGACAATTGCCTAATTTATTAGTAACTAAGTGGAAATAATAAGTATTGAACGGACTTGTTTAGCCTCTTAGAGCTGAAGAACACCGTCCATTTATAATTGAGCTCGGAAATGAAATAATGCAAGACAGAAGAACAAAAGCTTTTCCGCGCAATAAAACCTAAACCTCCCTTCCAGCCTCGCGAGATTTCACTGGCCAATCAAAACATTAAGATGTTAATGTCTTCCTTTAGTCCCACCCCCTTGGTGACCTAATTCGGTCAACCTCCGGAAGAGTGTGCTGTCTTCAATCAGGTCCGCAAAATTTATATTTAAAGGGTCGTGTCAACCCCGAGCAGTCATTTCAACTGCAGCCATGTCTGGTCGCGGTAAAGGTGGTAAGGGGCTCGGCAAAGGGGGCGCCAAACGCCACCGCAAGGTGCTGCGCGACAACATCCAGGGCATCACCAAGCCCGCCATCCGGCGCCTGGCGCGGCGCGGCGGCGTCAAGCGCATCTCCGGGCTCATCTACGAGGAGACCCGCGGGGTTCTCAAGGTCTTCCTGGAGAACGTGATCCGGGACGCCGTCACCTACACGGAGCACGCCAAGCGCAAGACGGTCACGGCCATGGACGTGGTCTACGCGCTCAAGCGCCAGGGCCGCACGCTCTACGGCTTCGGGGGCTGAGTCTGAACCCCGGCTCGCTTTCTGCAGCAAAACCAAAGGCCCTTTTCAGGGCCGCCCACTCCCTCTCGGGAAGAGCTGTGCGCGATTCTTGTGTTTGGCGCGTGTCCTGAGGTTTCCTTGTTTTCAATACCAGCCCGGCCTTTATCTTCTGCGGTAATTGCAGACCGGACAGAGGCTCCCCCTACCGGCCTCAGCCAGGCCGTGCGCAGGGACCCAGAATCGGCGGTATCCTCAGCCGATCGGGAGCGGGACGGGGCTGTCGGTGGCGGGCAGGAAGCAGTTACGCAACCCACAAGGGAGGACGAAGAGGTCTCGAGGTCCCAGTTCTTTCTTTGGCAGGGACTCTGTCCGCCCTTGTCCCTGCAATAGTGTCAACCACGGGCCATTGTTCGGCCGAGGAGGCAGTCGGCCGTGACGCAGGGCCCCGGAAATGCCACTGCGCTCGTACTTAGTTTGCGGTGAAGAGAGACTTAAACATTTACAAATTATGGAGCCTGCGAGGGTGCTGCCGGCCGCCCCCAGGCACCTAGACCGGTTAAAAACTGACACTGCTTGGTGTCAGTTTTTAATCGCTGGGTGTCGATTCCTAAGGTGTTTGCCCTGAACAGTGTCAGGAAGGGTCTCGCCTGTCCCCGCCCCTCAGGCATCGTGCTGAGCGCGGTTATCCACCACATCGGGTGGGCCTGGCTTTGAAAATGACTCGCCTTTGCTGGTTTCAGTTCAGGCTGGGCCCCTCCCTAAGCCGGAGGCCGCGCCGTTTGTAAGTTACGATTCACTAGACAGGAAGTCGGAGCTCTAACTCGGGTCTCTACCTCCAAGCCTCAAGGCTTAATTTTGCATCTGTGAAGAAGCGCACTCCTCGAATGACAGGCTCTAGGGCGGCTCTCTGGCCCCTCCGCCTCCCAGCTTCCCCCCCTTCTTAACTTTGCCTGCCATAAACTGAAAATTGTTCTTATTAATATTATTATTATTTATTATGGACCATTCAAACACTGAAGTATGGTAACAAAAGTCTTTAAAATATGTCCTCAGATCGCACCTATAAATTCCCTTTCGATAGTAAAACCAAAGGCCCTTTTCAGGGCCACTCCCAAAGTCGCACTGAAGGGCTCTTAGTCATTGCAGATGTTAACTGAGCAGATAAAGTTGGAATAGCAGCTCGTGTGCGGTGGCTGGACGGTTGGTGCATTGATTTAGCAGTGTAATTCCATAACTTACCCATGGCATCTTGCACCACGAAGGTATTAAATTTGGGGAATTTTAACAAGGCAAACGAAATAGGCCTTTAAAAGGGAGTAAAGAAAGCTAACGAGCAAATGTTTCCAACAAAATGACCGGCTTCGTAGAGAAATGTACGTATTTCGTGCATTTGGAAGCATTCCGAAGAAAGTTCTTTGGACTTAAAGGGATGACAGGTGGCACAAAGGTCCACTCCTATGGCCACAAGGCTATGTCAGTGAAGCCTCTTGGGGACAAGCTCTCAACAGCCCATACTCGATGTAATGTGAGAACCTCCTTCACTTGCGGAGGGTGGGATTACAGGGCCATTTTCAATTGGCTCATAGGAGGGCTTAATAGCTGTCCCCGGAATGGGAAGAAAAACCTCGGTTGGTTGATTTTGTTTTTAACCCGATGCATGCCAGGCTCTAAGAAGCTGGAGGCACAGTCTCGCCGTTGGGTGGAACCGGTTCTAGACGATTAGAGCCGGCCTGGGCAGGTCGTGGCTGGTTGTCTGGGGTGCGGTCTGAGGGTCAGAGGTCAGTCCACTGCCCACCGAGGCAGCACATTCCCGCACTGGCACAACACCAGCCTCAAGGAAACTGGCAAGGCATGGGCTGGGGCTGATTCCGTGTTCAGTCATTTTCCATACAAGGTACAATTTTGCACTTGGCCATGTTCAAAGCCGCCTCAAATACCAAGGCCCAAAGTAGAATTAGCAACAGTATGACTTTAATACTTACGATGATCTTCAGATAAGAACGCTAAATCACAAATTAAGTGGAAACCGAAATAAACCCACTGTGTTTAAAATGAGAAGCATGCTTTACCTCAGACGCTGAACGTTTCCTAATGTGAGCAATTTTTTGCCATTTACAAATGTTCGATTCTGATGCTAAGGGCAGCCTCCGACATTCCCATGCAGGCTTTGGCATTGTTCATCCTGTGGAGCACGATCCATAAGCTTTTCATAAATAAAATACATGGAATTACAATTATATTAATCACCTTACCAATGTTTTAAAATATGTGCTTCTTAACATCTGGTACCTACAGCACTTTGGAAATAAGGATAAACAGCGACAGCTGTAAGCAAAGTATTTGTGATTCTATTAGCCAGTCACACTCCGTATAAAATCTTCAAAGATTAAAATAGTTGTTGAAAAATTTCCCTTTGATCCAAATTCTGACATTGGTTTCTATAGACTACTACAAAGTCCGCAGACACCCCAGTTAAAGAACTATCTCATTAGGGTGACAGCATTTAAGTGTAAAATGCAACGTGGCACTTGAAAATAAAACCACTAAGGTATGTTTGGGCGCCAGCTGGCATCCACACCTGCATAAAACAATGGTATGCCTAGGAAAGTACTTAAGGTGCTTGCGCACACGGCATGTGCCCTATTATTAGAAGACAATCTAGCTTTTGACTTGGCTGATACCTGACAAAAACATCTGAATTTTCGTAGACTTGTACACGCGCGTGACACTATTTCATCACAAGCTTTCTTGTTAGTAGGCAATGTAGACCTACGGTATGGTTGTATAAAATTCTCGAAGCTTCCAGTGCTACACCATTTTATGATTTCTTGGGTGGCTCTTAAAAGAGCCTTTGGGTTCTCTGAAAATTGGCCTTTCAGGTTTACTTCTTAGGCGCCGTCTTCCTGGGGTTGGTTCTCTGCTTGCTCAGCTTGGCCCTGCCGGCCGCGGACTTCCCCGCCCTGGCCTTGGCCGGGCTCTGCCGCGGCGGCTTGCCCTTGGCTCCTGCAGCCTTCCTGCCCGCCCTGTCGACTTTTGAGGCGGTCGTCGTCCTCGGCTTCCGCGCCCTTTTGGTGGCCTTGGTGCTCTTCGGAGACTTCGACTCCCTGGACAAGACCAGCTTCTTGGCCTTGGCAGAAGCGGCCTTCTTGCCCTTGCGCTTGGCGGGCTCGGGGGCCGCCTTCTTGCTGAGCTTGAAGGAGCCCGAGGCGCCGGTGCCCTTGGTCTGCACCAGGGTGCCCTTGCTCACCAGGCTCTTGAGGCCCAGCTTGATGCGGCTGTTGTTCTTCTCCACGTCGTAGCCGGCGGCCGCCAGCGCCTTCTTGAGCGCGGCCAGCGACATGCCCGCCCGCTCGTGGGACGCCGAGAGGGCCTCGGTGATCAGCTTGGACACTGAGGGGCTGGGAGCCTTGCGAGCGAGGCCCACCTGCTTCTTCCCTCGCTTCTTGGCGGGAGGCCTCTCCATAGACACTGGGCCAAGCTCTGCGGGGGCCGCAGGCACCGTCTCGGACATCACAGGGCACACGACCAGGAGGTAGGAGGCGTAAAGCCCCGCCGGCCCGGCCTTATATAGAGCACGGCGCGCTGTGATTGGTGCGTCGCCCGGGCGCCGCCCCGCCCCTTGGGGGAGGAGCATTTGTGTTTGTTTTCCCCCCAAAACTTGAAGCCCACAAATATCGTCTGCGCAGAACCGCCCAGATTCCACTGCCAGGTGATCCGTGGAGACCTGGGCTTCACGTGTCTTTTCACCTTTTAATGGAAAATAACCCGGAACGCTGAAACTTCTCGATAAAGCACTTGATTTTCAGTGAAATTCGAGGAGAAGAACAAAACTTCCTTTTTTTCTTGTAAATTTAAAAGTAATTTTTAGCAGGAGACTCACTTCACCTCTTCCGAGTGGTCTTCTAAAGAGTTGGCTTCCAATCGGTGGAGAAAATAAATTAGTCACGCCCCGATTTTCATCGAAAACTATTTGTGTGCGTGAGGGAAGTAACACATCTCTGAGATGTCTCGCTGCGGACTTAGAAGACACGTGTAGGATCGTCTGACGTGCAGGTGCGACCTTACTAGGATAAATACAACCTAACAAAGCAGATCTGCAGACTGCGGGTTGCTCGTGACTGACGACCCCCCCCCCCACCTCAGCCTCTGCAGCTTGATAGGGATGAATAAGCAGCATGGATTTCACACATAACATCTGTTTGTCCAAATCAGGTCGCCCTCATGGCGGGTGTCCTCAACTGAGTATTGCTTCTGGTTTCGCTAATTAAACCCTCCTTCCTCCCCTCTCCCCCTCCCACCTCCAAAGACACACAGAGAACAGACACAGTCCCTCCCTCAGGTAACTTAAATGTGAGGCAGGAACCCCTGGCCTGACGGGCTCAGC